GTTTGAACATCTAGGTCAGCAGTTCTCTCATCAGCCTCTCCTTGGAAACTCTATACAGTGTCACTGTGAGTTGTAACCCATTCGATGGAACTTAGCAAGAAAATCTATCTATCTATCTATCTACATATAGATAGATAGATAGATAGATAGATAGATAGATAGATAGATAGATACAGATATATACACACACTCACAAAAGAGCTCTGGTGACACAATGGTTAAATGCTTGACTGCCAATTGAAAGATTAGTGGTTTGAACCCATCAACCAAACATATATTGTTGTCTGATTCCTTCAAGATTTATATCTTTAGAAACCCTATGAGGCTGTCTACTATACTTTAGGGTCTCTATCAACAGAAACAGACCAGACAGCAATGAGATTTGGGCATGTACATGATTACATATTCTGAAAGATTTAAAAGATTAAAATATTGCAGCTAAAATATTCTATTTCTAATTCTAGTTTTTGGAGCTGCTGAATAGTTTGGAGAGGTGCTCTGGTAGCATAGTGGCTATGAATTGGGCTGCTAATCTCAAGGTCAGCAGTTTGAAACTACCACTGGTTCCACGGGAAAGATGAGAGTTTCTGTTCCCATAAAGATTTACAGTTTCTGAAACCCTACACAGGGTCACTATGAGTCGAAACTGACCCCACAGCACCACAACCACCAAACAGTTTGGGAACATAGTAACCTACTGAGTTCCTATTAAATGCCCAATGAAGTTACAGGAAAAAAAAAAAGGCATATTTTTGCATTCAGTAACTAAAATAACCCTAACTAAATAATCATATTATCAATTTAGAAATGAGGAAATGGAAGATCAAAAATTATAAAATTCTTGCTTTCTGATTGTCTAAAGTGCTAGTAGGTAGAAATCCAGATTTTTAGTTAAATCCTATGGAATCCCAAGCGACAGTGAAAGATCCTCCATGTTTCCTATAAATTATGACAAAGGAAAATGACTTCAAATTAAAATTAGATTTTCTAACTTTTTTTATACCAAAGAAATGATATACAACTATAGCCACTAGTATTTCTTAAAAGTGCTACATATATTAGCATTACAATAGCTATAATACTTTAAACAATATAGTTTTCTTTTCTCTTTTGCAAATTCTTGAATGTGCCTATAACTCTATTGAAAAAAGGCATACACCAATGCACCAAAATAGTGAGTTTTCAATGCTTAACTACCAAAGATAACCTGGAAACTCATAGCTGGGGAATATGCTTTAAAAGTCAGTATTTTCATGTGAATGCATAT